ACGCCTTTGTTGTGTCAGCCTGCCATCGGAGCTGCAGATTTACCATTAAAGGACCCTCATTATTAATCACAACTAATGCTAATTAATTAGGTGTCTGTGTGTGTGCACAGAGGGACCAGCTCTAAGTTTCAGTTTGTTGTGCAATGTTAATTGGTAACTCGGCCCAGGGCCCTTAATGGAGTGTTTTCCATTTGGAGCGGGGAGCAGTTGACTAACACAGGGGTGAAAAAACATAGACAATGCTCTCATTAATTAAGACTGTGTAAAGAGCTCTGCTCTTGTTACTCTTTGGTGTGTCCGTGTGTGCGCGCTTAAACAGTTTGTACAATATGAGTGCCTGTTTGTGAGGATATGAATGTGGAGATTTGTGAATACAACGGTAGGTGGTAGCTGCAGAACTACCTGTTTTTGTCCCTAATTTTAAGGGTATTTGACGTACTTCCTCAGCGCTGTAATCTAAGATTGCCCAGGGTTCAGTAAGCAACAAATACTAACATGAAACTAGATTAAAGCCTACTATAACTACATTTTAATTCATCCATGACATTCTTTTACATTTTTTATATTTTTTTACCATCTGTGCTTTAATGGATACTTTACAGCTTGAGAAACACAACAGCAATGACAAATGTCCCAGTTCTATTTGGACATTTCAGTCTTGACAATTTAATAGTTTTTGGTTGCAGAAGTAAACATTGATACATAAATTGTGGACGATGGGCCAAAACTATTTGTATACAGCTACCTAAGGCTATCAGTGTTTGTGGTTTGTATCACTCAGTACCACAGTCACCCCAACGGACCCGTGGACCAAAAGACTCCCCAAAAGCGGCGCTAAGGCCTCCATTAAGCACAAAGACTGAGTTAATTAGGAAGCTTATTGCCTCTCCCGAGGGCATGAGGTTCCAAACACTCTCCTATACACCCCTGCTGAGGGAATCTAGACACAAACTGATGTACTGTAATTAACAGCGCTTAGCAAATCAACAGCAGCTATTTTCTGTTTGGCAGTAGCTGTGAGAGCGTTAAAATTAACCAAATGAAAGATAATTATTTTTCTTTTCTTTTGAATTCAGTCACAGTGAGTTGTCTCTCCCAGATGTCTACGCCTGCATATCCCTCAGGGTATCATCGTTTTTCAGGCAAATTAATCAATATACAATAACAGCAATCATGCTGTAGCCCCCTTGACCCCTACCACATATTTTGAAATCTCTAAACAATTCCTGAATTGTTTTAGCAGGAGTGCAGTAACCAAGATAAAAAAATATACTTCTATTGTAGTTCTGCTTCCTGATTCCGCTGTCGGAACAACAGCACAAATATACACTCATGGTTCCTTGGTGTAGAGATATAAATAGAAAGCAGAGGAATGATGAAGAGTGCCGTTTCAGAATTTGGATGTGATGACTAATGGAGGGGATCATGTGTGATTATGTTTGACCTGTAGTACAAGGGTAAGCCCCCCCAGTCCCATTTGTCTGTTATCACAGGCAACAAACGATGTCTACAGATAAGCATAAGGGCCGGTCATTGTAAGGTGAGGAGTTCATTTCCATATTTCATGATCTAAGACCCCATCAGTCAACTGGTAGACCTCTTTATCAGGCTAGATGAAGTGATCTGTGAATGGGGTGCGGGACACGTAGATGAATAATGTTCTCACCTTACAGTGCTATAGCCTGTCTAGTATTGTACACTATAAGAGATACAGTGGAGACCGGAGCATAAAAGACAACAACCTTTGTCTGACAAATTAGTATTTTCTTTAGCTTTCCAAATATATTTTTGCAATAAATTCATAATATACATCGCTAGTTTTTCAACAATATGCGAGTATACATGCATGCAATATTTTTGACTTAAGTGCCTTTATTATGTAATGTAAAAGGTTTGAAAAGATCATCATGCCTACAGATTAACATCGCTTAAAAAAAGCAGGACAGAGTAGTAGAGTTTACTGGATTAAAACATAAGTGACGTAAAAAAGTATAGGCGAGACAATAGAGATTAAAATACGTAAATGTAGCAAAAGACACACAATTGCTAGAAAGACAGCGAGAATGAACGACAGCGTTACAGAAAAAAATGAGGGGGGGGGGGGTTAACTATGTCCACAGGTAGGTTATTTCTCTCTGTAAACATATGTATCCATTTGTCCCGTGGGTGCGTACCCTTGCCGTCCCGTCGGCAGTGGCTGGGTCACACCTCCATTAGGGGCTTTGTCACAGTGATTAATAGCTCTTTCTATCATCTTTAATTCACTCCCTGATGATGCCGGCCCTGCTCGCTGCTCGGGGTAATCGTGTGATGTATGAGTCCGCCCAACACCTCATGGCAGAGGTGAAAATCATTCCACCCATGCAGATAGCAGGCCCGGGAACAAATGTTTTCCCTCTTAATAAAAATAAATGAATTTGCCGTCAAGTGCGAACATTTAAATACATGGCATGCGCGTGTGTGCATATCTGTGTTTATGCAAAGTGCCATGATGTATTTTCATATGTTCCTGAGTGATGGGAAGATAATATTGTTTTCCTTATTATTTTGCACTATATCTTTTGTGTTGGCTTTTCACATCCGTATATATATTTTTTTTTTACACTTGCTTTCTTGTGCTATCATGATGTACCATCTCTGTTGGTAATGCAGTCGCAGCCACGATGCTACTCCCAGCTGGAGTTCCCCTTCTCTACCCAGAATTCTTTTAGCACTCCCTCTTTGATGAAGGGCGTCAGCTTGCAATGATGAAGTAATGTCCATTACTGAACAAACAAACAGGACTATTTGCTTTAAGTATGCAGAGACACACAGGAATCCACACACACACACACACATACCATTTCGATCATCTGTGTTCAGTGTCCTTACCGCCCCACACGTCTAAGCAGGGCTACGGTCTTTGACTTATCAATCATCTGCACATGAAACCACAATTTTTAGAACTCTGAACATAGCATATTTGCTTTTGGCTATCGTTTACCTTACAGAAACATATATGTTTATGAGCTGAAATGCTCTCGTTGAGTCCACTGGTCCGGGGGAATTTCTGGTCTAAATCAAATATAAACTTGGAGACCGGTGTGAGGGGGGAAATGTCAGAGGAGAAACAGCAATGGAGGGATACAGTTACCTTTAAAAGCCCTTGTCCCCCTACCATATGGCAAGCTTCACATCCAGGACTATAACCGCGTTACACAGTCTCCGTGCTGAAAATCATTACGTTGACTCCCAGAGCCACATTGAGTTTCATGCCCGGCCCGGCTCAGCAGAGTCTTTAAAAGACTTTCCCCTGAAACACGCTGTGCCCACACAGTGTGTGTGTCAAACACAATAGTTGCACAGACACTGTGATCAGGAATCACTTTAGGGAATGACAATGAGTAATACTCAAGTTGTAGATCAGGTTCGACAAATACACACACGTACTGCGTAACACAGAAAACCCAGGTATATATAATAGACAGCTGATTCAGCACATTGTGTTCATGCATAGATTCTTTTTCCCCCACAGCAAACACACTCTTTGACAGGAATTATGATTCTTAACTGGCAGCGGAAAACAGCTCATGTACTACTTATGCAGTGGTTGACAGTTTCGCACTCCTTTTCACCAGACTCCGTTCTTTGACCTTGCAGAAGTGGAAGTTACACATATTTTAAGGATATTTATATACCATGCACTTGGCGTATCGTGTCCTTCGAGTAATGTGTCAAAGTTTGTAGCAGTGGCTGCGGGAGTAAAGGTGCGAGCACATGGAAGAAGTTTTTTGTCCGGGTCTTGAGTCAATCGCTCAGGTTAGTTCATGACCACCTGTGGCCAATCACAGTGACCCGTTCAGTCAATCAGAAGCACGGTTACTTCATGGCCAGTGAACAAGAAGTGTATGTGTGTATCTGTGTGGATCAAAGGTTCCATGGCTGACAGCGCAGCGGTACGGTGTCACACAGGCAGCCCTTCAGGAATGTTCCTCAGCCCAGGGATGGGTTTTGGAGCCTCATGCCTCATTAGCAGAGCCCCCTCTCACCGTGCCCTGTCAGCCTGCGTTAGGCACAGCCCATCTCAGATGCACGCTGGGGGAGCGGCAGCTTCCTGTGAATCATTTCCGGCGCTGAGTATCTTTCTGTCTTTCTGTGTGACATCTGGCTGACAGTCTGTTGTCTTAGATGGCTTCTTCATTAGCTTGCTTGTCTGAATACTTATCTGTCTGTGTGCTTGTTTGGTGACCTGTCTGAGTGTCTGTATGTGAACTGCCTTTGCATGTCTTTTTTTCTTGTTTCTGTGCTTCTTTCCACCAATTCCAGAGACATTTTCAGCTTTTAAGACCTCGGAACACTGCTACTTTGCTCCACCTGCACACTGTGTCAACACTGTGAATGATTCAATCCCTCTTCCACCATTAAGCTCCACCAGCCACGTGTGCCACTCTGAAGAAGCCCAGTGTGGGTTCAAGGGTCTTACTGCGATGTCCTGTTTCACTCTATTCACAATTAACCCCAGTATGCGTCCCTATGTTTTCACTGTACAGTGGAGGAAGAGTTCAGGAAAAGGAAATATAAAACAGTTAGAGCAGCACAATGCTGAGCAGACCCTGCTTACCCATCTTGGCATCAGCTCAAACAAATGGCAAATCTCCGAAAGCCTGTTTTTGACATATCAGCTCTTGGTTTTTTTTGTTTTTTTTAAATGAATTAAAATGTGTCTGTCATCATTAGAAACAAGAAGAAAAACACTGACATTAGAAACAAATGTCCTGCCTTCATGTTCTCCTGCTCTTTATACAGAGCTTAATGCAAACATAATAAGGGCTTAGTCACATGACCTGTAGGACATCATGCTGTTTATTTGAACTGATCATGTTACAGGAACATTTTAAAGAACATTGTTTGCAGTGTTAATTTGTGATAATCCAACAATCATAAAGACGTCACTGAGCATCACCCTCACGTAGAGACTCTCTTTCTCTCTTTCTCTCTTGCTCTTTCTGTTTCTTTCACAGGTGAAGGTGACGATGAGTTCGCCCTTTACCCATCTGACATCTTAGACGATGTATGCGGCTCTGATGGTGATCCTGCGCCTTCTTCGGCCCTGGCAGAGGACCCAGCGTCCCCTCCACTCTCTGATGATGAGGCTTCACCCCAGCACCCTTTGTCATTCCAACACCAGAGCATGTTTTTATCCCAAGAAGATTTGACCATTCCCCTGGACTTTGAACTTCGAGAGTCAGCAGTTCCAGGCGGAGGCCTGGGCATCTGGAGCCGCAGAACGGTAAACATCGGGGAGCGCTTTGGACCATATGAAGGAGAACACAGGCCTTGTCTGCAAGACCCCACTCAAGGCTGGGAGGTAAGAATGTGATCCGAAAGTGTTGCTTAGCAGAGTCGGTACCTTCATACACATAGATAATTGACAGAAACTAATATTGCATTAAGTGTTCTTCAAATGTTGAATATCAAGGCTATAAATATCAGGCTTTTTTTTTTTTTTTTTACATTGGAACCATAGTTTTTAAAGGTTTAAGGATTATATGGTATCCAGGGTAAATAAATTTGCCCTACACGTAACAGAGCATAGCTTTGGTTCAAATATACACATGAAAATTGCAGTTGCAAGGTTTTTCTGCAACAGTAGTCACACTTTTTCTGACAAGGGGGGTTTCCTTGGCCAATATACACTGTAGCATTCACATCAGTCCTCTTTTTATTTCCTCCCATGGCGTCATGTTCACATTTAGCCCAGTGACCACAAGGCTGTTGTTGCTGTTTGTTGCCCAGTGATGTAATGTTAGCTTAGTGCCATTGAGAGAAAGGGAGTTGAGGTTGTGCTCTTAACTCAATTAAAATGAAAAGCCATAAATCCCTTTTTCATCCTAGTTAGGGACCCAGTGCGGCCATTGGCAAATCACATATTGGTCAGCCGGCACAAAAAATCGAAGACAGGGTCACAGGACAAGGTCAAAGGTTAGATGTGGTCTCTGTCAGTGTCAGGCTAGTTTGCTTTTATGGAGCAGGAATAAGGGGGCTAGCAAAGTATCAGTCTCATTTAGTCTTCCGAAATAGATCCTCTCTAATTTGGATGTGAGGATTAGTCCTTATATTCAGGCCTTTGTCCCTTTGTAGGACAGAACCAAGCTCATTAAGAGTCGCTGACCATGCAGTTCATAAAGTGAAACGTCACAGGTTTAAATAAAAAGATGATTCAATACAGCATTCCTTCTCTTTCTAGAGTCTCTCTAACCCCTAAGTCTGTTTTAATCCTGCACTTTAAAACTGACTGAGAACGTGTTGGTAAAGTATCAACATTCAGCTCATATAAATAGTTTTGGATTTGGACTGGTGCTCGTTGGGTTTGCATCATAGAGAATTACCCCAGCCCATCAGCTCTGACTCAGTGGTTTTGGCTCGGACCAAACCAAAATAAATTTCTTTTTTTTTTTCACTCGGGACTACATTTCTCCAGGAAACAACTTCTCCCTCATTATCAACTGCCGGGTGAGACGCAATATATAAATGTCTCCTAAATTGAAGTGAGGAAAAACTCTTCATTTTTGCCCATTTTCATAATACAAAATCTTAATAATAAGTCTCTGTCCGTCCCGAAGAGATTTACAGCCGGTTGAACAAGCTCTCTGGGTTATTCCTTTTCCCAGGGAAGGAAATAAAGGAAAAAGAGGTTTCATGAATTTTAATCCGGCGGTAATTTATGGGGAGCTTGAATAATAATATGTATTTAAAAAGCTGAGGAGCTGGGATGTGAGTGGGCATGTGTGTGTGTCTGGGGGCAGGCGGGTGGGAGGATTGAGGGGAAAGATGGGAGCCTGGCGAGGCAGCACTGTATCACAATGTTTAATTACCATCCTGACAGCAAGCTATAACTCTTTCCATTAAGTAAATAAGTTGTAAAGAATTTATGATGAAATGCCACATTATTCAGAATGGATATTCAGTGATGACATCCCTTTGCATTAAATATGGTAAACGCCAATAAGCCCTCGTGACCCCCTCCCCCCTCCCGTGCCCACCCGTTAACCATTTTCCGCCCATTGCTCCCCCCCCCCCCACCTGCCTGCAAACCGTCAATATGCCAATAAGCCTGCGGAGGGTCTGTAAAAATAAAATTGATTTGGTAAATGTGAGTTAAGATAGATATGTTTGCTTTCATCATCAATTCTGTGCGGCGCGGCGAGGTGATGTCACCGACCGGGGAACGCTAAAGTGGCGCTCCCATCTGGAGCGTTTGATGGAGGGCCCAGAGCGGTCCAGGCCAGTGGTGACAGACTGGGGGAAGTTTGTCACCAGGGAGGCCACCGCTCCTCAGCGCCATCACCATAAATTTGGGGGCTTTATTCATAAAGGGGAAGAGTGAGTTATGGCATCCATGATGCTTTATGAATACAGGAATGGTGACTTATGGGAAAGATAGCTTCGGTAAATAAGAGGTAGAGAGGCAGCGGTGAGGGGGTCTGTCAGGCAGAGACGCTCACCTACACTTTCATATGCAGAACTGTAGTGCTGACTGTGCCAGTAGTCATATGCTCACTGCTGTGTGTGTCTGTGTGAGTGTGCATGCATGTGTTTGTGTGTATTTGTGACAAATCTATCGTGAGTGCTTTTAGTAAGTTTGTGATTTTGAGTTTGAATAATGTTGAGGGTTTGTTTAACTTTTGTTTAATCAGATTATTTTATCCGTGCCAATAAAAAAAATTAAGTCAGGTGTTAGTTAAAACAAATGGAATGAAAACAATGGAGACTTGTTTGGAGAGGTGTTGTACATATTTCACTCAGAAACTCAAAAACAGACAAATTTTTTGTTTAATCTCCAACAACCCACACACTTTGTTTACTTTCAGTTCAAGAAATGTAATTGTAAACTAGACTGGATTTATTAACTATAAGGAATTTATTTTATTTCATTTGTTATAAAATAGAAGAACAATAAAGACCTCAGCTTTTAAATCCAAATGGCTTTAAATGTCTAAAGGGAAAGTGAAGTGACCCTTTAACCCTTGGGACCCACCATAACAAAGCTGGTGACCTGTTTTATTGCCAGATTTTAGCACATGGTCTTGGCTTAAATACATTTCAAAACTTTTTTCAAATAATAAAGGGTACTTGATTTGTTTTCCCAGGATGTATTTAATAATTGAACATAAAGGTTCAGTGTGTAACATTGGAAGGATCTAGAGGATATATTGGAAGAAGTGGAATATAATATGAATATGAATATTATATTCCATTTGTTACCTTAGAATGAGGCATTAGTATCTACAGAGGGAACGTGGAAGAGGACCCTCTTCCACGGAGGCCGCCATGTTGAACCCCTATGTTTCTACAGTAGCCCAGATTGGACAAACTGAACTCTGGCTCCAGAAAGGGCTTTTCAAATTTGTTAAGTTAAGTTTGGAAGACTGAGCTGTATTCATATGGTTTCAATTTGCAACTTCACCACTAGATGCCCACGGAATCCTACGCAATGGTCTTTTAAATAATGAAAATAAAAAGGAAAAACCATGAATTGCAAAATATTGCATTCCATCTTTTATGTGACAGAACAAGGATGAGGTGGTCTGCAGTTGCCCACAGTATTTGCATGTATTTCTCCATGGCTTCCTTGAAAATAGTCTTAACGCCTGGATGCCCACCAGTCCATATTCGGCTGTCTCTCTCTCTGAGTCGTTAGGCACATTGAAATTCAAACTCCATTTGTGTCTGTCCTCTTCTCAGCAGCAGCAACAATAAGACAGAGAGTTAGAGTCCGGGAGAGAGTTATCCAGCACTCAATGAGCCTTTGGGCTCACCCAAACTCGCAGCCCCACGGGATTATGGGTCCTGGGCTTAGAAAGCTGGGTGCCTCCTGCTGTAGGAGCAATGGGCGGAGCAGGTTAGGGGTGCGAGAAGGGTTGGGATGGTGAGTGGGGCGGGACAGGGGTGCTTAAGGCCTTTGTGCACCTCTTGAGTGAGAGGCGGAGGTGGAGGTGGAGGCGATAGTGTTGGTGGTAGTGGTGGTGGTGGGGAGGTGGTGAAGGAGATTAGCAGTGATGGTGAATGGGAGTAGAGGATTAGGTGGCTAGGCAGAGCCTTTCCTGGCTCTGCCTGTCTCCTGAACCTCCTGGTCATGAGAGGATGGGAGGATGGAAGGAGAAGAAAGCAGATGCCTGGCCAGGAGGAGACCCATCAATTAAACTGTTGTCTGCTGAATATCTTGCATTGCTAGTGATCTACTGAGAAAAAAAATTTGTTTGTAAAAGTTGGATTAGAAACTTTCAATTTGAGATTCCAAAACATATTTTATGATGAAGCTTTAGTCTATAGAGCCTGTGTTTATGGATCTAGCATGTGATATTTCATATTTAACAGCAGAAACAACAACAAAAACGTAATATGCTGTTAGATTTTCAGTTTTCAGGCAGTCTTGCAACTGTAGTTCAACTGCAGGTACTGCTTTTGCCATTTTGCCTTTTATGTGTACAGGCAGTGTGAACTCTAGGAAAGATCAAACGGGGAACGAGGATTTTGTGTGTCTGTGTATTGCATGCGTGTCCACATACGCTCTTGTGTGTGCATGCACGCATGTGCGTGTAAGACAGAGTGTGAGAGTGTGGATGGAGGGCGTTTTGAGAGGGCGTGTTTTTTTGTGCACGGATAAGCCGCTGTCCTGAATGAATGCAGATGTCTCTGGCTGGCTGTCTGCCTGTCCCCTGTGCGCTGACGGCCCGTCACCTCTCTCTGTCACAAGGAGAAAGAGCCACTCTTAGTCCTGGCTAAAAGCCCCTTAATCCCCGAGCCCCTGCCACATCCCATCCTCTGTCAGCGGAGATGGCCCTGCCCACAGCAGCGCTTAGAAAGGCAGGCGCTAGGGATGAACCTCTCTGTCACTCACGCACCTCTCAATGGACACACATCTTCACATTTTCACACACACGTACACACATATAGTTTTTAGAAATTCAAAGTGAAAAAGTCCTGCGTTTGCGAAGTCGATGTGAATGGTGGTTGTCAATGCATTGTGTTGCATGCACACAACGGCTGCGCTGACATCATTGTGGGACCTGTTCCCTCTCATGAGAAGAGCACTAACCGGCCGCTGAGACACTGTGTGTAATAATGAAGGAGCCGTTCACTGCATACACTTGGGTCTCATTGGCACTTAATGAATTGTGAAGAAGACAATAAAGACCATTAAAATTGGTTGTGTGCGAGCAGATAGTGCAAGGAAGGAAATGTGTCACTATGTAGACTGAATGTTATGGACCTGAGACTGAGAGCTGTGCTGCTGAGGAAACACATATCCTTTTATTATACCTTCAATTGTAAATACACATTTCTGAGATGTGTAAGACCTGATAA